AGTGGTAACAAGTCAGCAGTTGGTCACGGCTGCAGAGTCTGAGGGGCTATGTGAGATTGCGAGAGGATGGCCTGCCTTGGAGAAGAAATTATGTGAGTGTGTGCAAAATTCTGTATCTGATCAAGGGGGGTCAAATGTGTCCTGTGAAAATGTATGGGAAAAGCCTTCCAGCGAGAGGGGGCTGAATGAATATATGTGCCAATATGTGCCTGAAGCAGATGTATGTGATGCACTGGGTGAAAATGTGAAGGGACAGCAAGGCTATGAGGGAGGGCAGAGGGTGTGTGAGCTTTACTCTGCGCCAGACTTTTTACCCTGTCACTTCCACACTCTCCCCACTGTCTCGGCTGGGCCTATAGCCCACGCACGTGACACCCACCGAGCGGAAAACTGGCTGGTGAGGAGCCCTGAAAAGGAAGATGTTTTTATTATGCCGAGGGGGAGAGGTGAGAGCCTTGGGGAAGTTAGATTGGCAAGGATGGTTTCTTTGGTTACTGTATGACTGTATGAAAAGTGTTATGATATTTATAATTATGTTATATTGTAAGAAATTATGACCCTCTTACAAGGATATTCTTTTAGGGAATGTGTGACAAATAAGACATAAACACAAGTGTATAATAAAATGTATTGTAAATATTCATTTAAGGATACTGTTAGATTTTAAAAGGATATACACAATATACATTATACATTATATCCGGTACATAATCAAAAGCTACATAATAAAAAGGCAATACTTAAACATTTAAATGCAGGTCTTCCCCTTGCGCCTTCATCTTGGGTAATCTGGGACAGCCTCTCTCAGTTCACCATGGCCCTGCTTGCTGCGTTGTCCTCTCCAAAGAGAGAGAGAAAGAGAGAGAGCCTTCCTTGGTTGTTGTCCTTTTAAAGACTGATTCTTGGAGTAATAAACTACAAGTCCCAGAATCCCTTTTCCCTCCCAAAAGTGGTTTATCCCGCCCTCTTTCTCCAGAGAGTTCTGTCTTTACACAAGTCTTTCCCTTTGATCTCTTCCCTCCAGCTATACTGTAACATTGTGAAAGACCAGTTGATTAGGTTTCTTGGTAGATTGGACTGCTTGGGAAAACACACACTTGCATGGTTACACCTAGATGTCTATTACTCTGATCTCCTGATAACATGCAAGGAATACTGGAGGGATGTAAGCTTTTGTTTTAGCTGGGTGTTGTAAAATGCAACTGAAAGCTTTGATCCTTATCACACTGTTATCAAGGAAATGACCCCCACTTGTGAAACCAGTCACATACACAGAAAGTTATATACAATATTGCAGTTTGGAATATCAATTTCTTACAGTCCCCACCTAGAGGGCGAATGACTCAACAAGAAAATGAGCCCTCTCAAAGAAATACAGTATTTGAATTATGTGTGTTTTAAATGATTATGTGTTTTACTGAGACACAAATGACTTGACAACCACATATATTTATAATTTAGGGTACTGCAAGGCATAATTTAGCCAAATCATTGAGGCACTTACAGTTATCATTTTTCACCATTAATTTGAACTCCTTCAGCCATATCCGTAACCTTTCATTACCCTCATAGGCTCAGCATCACTGCAACCATTAGATTTCACTCCCATCACGCTCAGTTACCTGTGCCACCAGCACTGCTTCCACCACACTGTTCCTTTAACCCTGGCCTTGCTTACTTTGGGCTATTAGGCCTCTGACCTCTGCCCACCATGACACCTGGCGTATTTTCACACCCACAGCAGTTAATTTGCTGTTCACTTACATAGTGTATTAAAGAGACCACACAAGGGAGAAACACAGTTTATTGTTTGGAGTGGGGATCTGAGTGAAGGTGTTTGTGCACGTTCATTGGGAGTTTATTAAAAGTTGTATAGCTGGAGTGGGTTTGTGTTTGAGCCCTTGAGGATGTTTAATAAGGTTTCGATAGGCCCTTGGCTTCTGGAAATTAAAAGATTCTTAGCACAGAAAGTGTGCAGTGTTACATTATGCAAATCACTAGTGGTTTGATTATCATCCTTGTCTCAGTACTACCGTCTGGATTCACAAGTGGTCATCTAAAACATTGTAAACACAAATGTGAGCAAAATGCAACCAGTATCAATGTGTACTAAGAAATACATCCTCATAACAGTATAAAATAATTTACTATAACCTTACTAAAACCATAAATATTTAACCCCTTGTGGAAAACCAAATAGAGCAAATAGAAAATGCTAAATCATATATTGTCACTCACCCCACCTTGACTCAAAAACAATATAAAATATACAAACTGGTCTAATTTGTCTATATGCTATACCCCACCTTGAGAGTATAAATTAAAACAAAAACAAACAAAGAATAACCATTATCATTCTATTGTTCACCCAACCTTGACTCAAGGAAATGTAAAATATATGCAATTATCTGTTTTCCCTATATTCCCTTTAGAGTGTGAAATACAATAAAAAGCATAAGAAAACAACAAAATCAAAGAAGATGGAGAGAGAAAAAAGTAGATTGAATGCTACCATTACCTTCAGTCATTGAACTGTATACAAAGTTTGGCAGCGTGCAATCTAAAGAAAACTGACAATGGTCTGTTGCCTTTCAAAGATTAAAATCAAAAATCAGCTTGAGGCTATTTGTGTTGGTAACCAAATGAAAAAAAGACAAAAACTAAAATATTTACTGTTGTAAACCAACAGACAGTTACACTATCACATCTCTCCAGTGTGATCAACGTATAAGCCTCACCTTGGCAACAATTCATCTAATCTAGAAATATATAAAATTAGTAATCCAGTATCAAAATACAAAAATAAAAATAAAACATAGCTGGAAGTGCAGGTGTGCTAAACTAATAAAAACAAAAATAATTTGGAATTTGGACCACCTGACTGTAATGAATGAGTTTAGAGGCTTATCCTTAATATGAAATAAAATATCATAAAACTACATATTAAGGTCCTCTATAAACTGGAACTGTATTTTTCCTGAAATAAATAAACATGTTAAATGGTTGGTCTTCTCACAGATATTTGTCTTCCTTCTCAATTGGCATCATCTCCGTAGTTTTCTAAAAAACAAACTTCAAGAGAAAGTTAATAACACACAACTAGAATAGGTCATTCAAGAGAGACTGTATCTGTTATCAGATTCTTTGTGTTAACCATATCCTCTAATGTACTTAATTGTGCCTTGAGACAATCCAGTTTTTCAAGGAACTCATTACGTTCACATGTAAGAGAAAGATTTTCTGCCTTTAGTTGTGTATTCTGTGCTTTAAGCACATGGTAGGGAATCCAAGGTCTTGTGAGGGAGATACCATTATTATCTTTTCTCTGGGATCTCCACCTAGGGTGATTATTTTTATTTCCCAGAGTCCATCTATCACACATGGGCCTTTCATGATGAATATGCACATCTGATTTACAAAATTTTTCAATATGTCCCATCCTACCACACCTAAAACATGTAATGGATTTTATATGTGGGGACTTTCTCTGATTGATATATCTGTGAGGTTGGGGACTTTGTATCAATGACACTTGCCTTTTATTTACTTTTTCTTGATTTAGTAAAATTGCTTCAGCCCTTTTTAAGCAATTCCGTATATTTACAAAGGTGTCCTGTGGGGACACAGTTAAACCAATTAACTCTCGAATATCTGGCAGTGTCCTATTAAGTAATGCTTTCTTATATGCATATTCATTCTGATCAGCATGTGCTCCAGGTGGAACAGTCAGTTTGAATAAAACAAATAACCTATTTACAAACCCTTGAACAGACTCCCCTCTCTTCTGAGCACAATTACCAAAAGCAAAATGATGATTTATTTCCTCTAGACCAAGTGCGTTTAATAACTCTTTGATAAGTTGTTGCTTGGTTCTAGGTTCTATAAATATCTCATGTGGCAGACTTGCTCTTAGTGACTGGTCTGTACTAGCAATTATGACATCAAAAATATCCAATTCATTTAAGTTTCTGTGGATTTTTTCAAATTGATCAATTTTTAACATTATATCTACTGGATCATCATCCAAGCTTATACATCCCAGTTCTTTGCTCAGTGCAATAACCTCTGTATGTTTTAAGGAATGGGTCACAGTAGTTTTATGTAGTACATTTCCCTGTGCATCCACCATGTGCTCTGTAGAGACTGGTGCCATTTTAGCAGGAATACTGCGCTCACAAATACCATAAACATCTGCAAAAACACCACACTCTATGTTATGTACAACATTTGTATTGGGTTCTGCAGCATTGCATGCAGGTACAACAGCATTTCTATTTTGTAATTGGGATTTCAATAAATTAATTTGATACATGCAATCTGAATGATCAGCCTCTTTCTGGCTGCTGGATGCAAGGATCCTAATAGCACCCTCTGCATCCTTCAGCCTTTCTACAAGCTGCTCATTATGACTGCGCAATTCCTCATTTTCAAGACGCATTTGCTGACTACCTACACACAAAGCAGCAGCATTTTGCACAGACAGTTTAAAACCTTCCACTTCATTCTTTAAACTCAAAATGTCTGCCTCTAATTTCTCTTTTTGCCTATTTAAAGATTTATACTTCTCCGCAATCCAACGGGCAGCATAAATCAAAGCAATTTTACCACTAGATTTTGACAATTTATTTTCAATAATTGCCCTGGCCACATAATCCTGAGCATTAAGCCACGGATCTAATGCACCATCCATACATTTAATTATTGCTTCTGGATTAGACACCTTAGCAATCTTTTTCAATAAACTCTCCATCATTGACAACGCACAATTCACTGAAATATCTATACACAATATCTGAACAGTATCCAAAAGTAAATATACAATCTATACAATTATGAATATGCTCATAAATCACACTAAATCCCTCCTACCTGGCTCGCCAATTTGTAAGAAATTATGACCCTCTTACAAGGATATTCTTTTAGGGAATGTGTGACAAATAAGACATAAACACAAGTGTATAATAAAATGTATTGTAAATATTCATTTAAGGATACTGTTAGATTTTAAAAGGATATACACAATATACATTATACATTATATCCGGTACATAATCAAAAGCTACATAATAAAAAGGCAATACTTAAACATTTAAATGCAGGTCTTCCCCTTGCGCCTTCATCTTGGGTAATCTGGGACAGCCTCTCTCAGTTCACCATGGCCCTGCTTGCTGCGTTGTCCTCTCCAAAGAGAGAGAAAGAGAGAGAGCCTTCCTTGGATGTTGTCCTTTTAAAGACTGATTCTTGGAGTAATAAACTACAAGTCCCAGAATCCCTTTTCCCTCCCAAAAGTGGTTTATCCCGCCCTCTTTCTCCAGAGAGTTCTGTCTTTACACAAGTCTTTCCCTTTGATCTCTTCCCTCCAGCTATACTGTAACATTGTGAAAGACCAGTTGATTAGGTTTCTTGGTAGATTGGACTGCTTGGGAAAACACACACTTGCATGGTTACACCTAGATGTCTATTACTCTGATCTCCTGATAACATGCAAGGAATACTGGAGGGATGTAAGCTTTTGTTTTAGCTGGGTGTTGTAAAATGCAACTGAAAGCTTTGATCCTTATCACACTGTTATCAAGGAAATGACCCCCACTTGTGAAACCAGTCACATACACAGAAAGTTATATACAATATTGCAGTTTGGAATATCAATTTCTTACAATATGTTTAAGGAGTTATACAGTATTTGGTTATGCTAATAAATGCTGTGGCCTGTTTTTCCCAAGAAGTTGTCTGTCGTTATTTGAATGGGGTAAGTGATGGTTTTATGGGGATGAAGGGAATGCTATCCAATGCCCACTATGTCCATACATTTTTTTTCTTTTAAATAAAGTCTCATCCTTTACTGTGTTGATTCCCTTTATATATTTAAATGTTTCTATCATATCCCCCCTGTCTCATCTTTCCTCCAAGCTATGTATGTTAAGATGCTTTAACCTTTCCTGGTAAGTTTTATCCTGCAATCCATGAACCAGTTTAGTAGCCCTTCTCTAAACTCTTTCTAAAGTATCAATATCCTTCTGAAGATACGGTCTCCAGTACTGCATACAATATTCCAAGTGAAGTCTCACCAATGTTATGTACAACGGCATGGGCACTTTCTTTCTACTGCTAAAGAGGTACTACCTCTTTCCCAAGAGAAGCTCTGTCCTAATCTGGCAGGACATCCTGTAGAAATTGGCCTCAGTCACTGAAGTTGTGCTATGTTTTCTGTTAACAATTTGGAGGCGTAGTGTTGCAGGGTAAAGAAGAGAAAAACGTATGCCCTTCCTGTGTAGTGCTGAACAGATGGGCATGAATGCCTTGCATCGTTGGCTGACCTGTGCGGAATAATGTAGGCTGCTCTACGTTTTTGTAAGCTGTGAGGATGCAAATCGTATCATGAAAATTAATATTTTTTAGCTATGATAGGTCTTGGTCGTGTTCTGTTGCCAGAGTTTTCTGGGCCTATTCTGTGAGCTCCTTCAATGATGGTAGGAGAGTTAGAGGTGGCTGCAATTTGTAAGGCGTCCAAGAGCCAGGACTGGAGAGTGGGAATGATATTTTCAGATTTTACGGATTCTGGAAAGCCAACAAATCTGAGATTGTTCCGTCTGCTTAGGTTTTCTAGGTCATCCAGCTTGTCCTGCAGAGAGGTTAGAGTATTATGTTGTTGACGAATCATGGTTTGTAGCTGGTGCACCTCATCCTCCGTAGTACTCTGTCTTGTTTCCAGCAAGGCAAGTTGAGTAGAGTGGGCTTGCAGAAGATGGACTGCACCATCTATTGATCCTTTGATGTCCTTAAATTAAGATTCAAACAGGGTATCTGGCAAGCAACAGAGCTCTTTTCAATCGTGCCTCTATAGAGAGATGGATTCCAGGAAGTGAGCTGCAGTGTCTGAGGAGTCCTGCCAATACAAGGCTAATAAGCAGGACCTTTAAAAACCGGGGGGGAATTGGGCGGCAAATTTCAGCCCCTGACGAAGGAGTCTTGAACTCCGAAACGCGCGTCGGGTTTTTTGCTAGGATATCCCGACACCTCACTTTAGCACTCACTATGCACTCATTATGCACTTAAGGGAATCCTAACGGCACTTATTATTTTGCTCATTTTTTTCACTTGCTTTTTTTGATTATACATGTATTATTTTGAGTAGGATTATGAGCAGATAGCTTGTAGATAGGGACATTCATTCTAGTGTTAGCTCTAGCATAGAACACCCACGAAGGTGTTATAAGGAGCTTGTAGGGAAACAGAATAGCAGCATCCTTAGCAGTTACATATTCAGTCCGATTTCATGGCTTATGGGCTAACACTTCTAGATGTCCATATAGGCTAAGGAGTTTTTCTGTTTCCACTTTCGCTGTTGTCCTATCCCCTCTACCTATCGGCTCATATTTATTATAGGTGTTTACTAGGGAGACAATATTATCGTTTCTCTCTCCCACATATTACACCTTTATCATTGGGAGGACTATTCAAAGAGGGCTGGATTACTAGTCTCGGTCCCTGTGAGGTTCCATTACCGAGCTATAAATAATTACCATTATTTTATTTGTCCTAAGCAGTCTCCAATGACCATATAGGGTTGCAGTAGTTTTACTTTCCAAGTGCACTGTATCTCCTTTTGGCAAACGGTAATAAAGTTTAATTGAAACAGTAGTTTAGCCACGATACTTTGTTGCACATTCCATACTCAGTACACATTGTTCTGATACTTGCTACCCTATCTTATATCCTCTCTATATGAGTTTATAGGTATTTTTTGGTTTTTTATTCTTAGGGATGTCCGTTATACTGATACCAGTGAATTGATAGCGCCCCTTAAAGGGACAGCATTCGATTTAATTTTATTTCCTTTTTTGACATTTACATTAACCGGGTCCAAGCCCATATTAGGTGGAACTGGTACCACCTCCCTGACCTTTTTTCCCCGATTCCAGGCCCACCCTACGGGTTAGCCAAGGGATCTAGGGAAACTTCTCTTTTATTTTCATTATAATAAGCAGGATGAGCTAGTGGGCCCGCAAGGTGAGAGCAATAGATGTGCAAGCAGCAGCGTACAGTTCCACAAAGTGGCACAGGCTGATATGAGTAGATAGCCTATTAACAAGGTCACCAGTGTGGGGTGGCAGCAGTAACCCCCAAGCAGTAGTAAGGGGCAATGAGGAGCATACAAATTGGGTAAAACATAATATAATAAAACAAGGCATGCACAGTAAGTCCATCCACAGCAAAGCCATAATTTCAAGATTGCAGGTAGGGTGAAGTTTATAGTGATAGGTCATAAAGGATCTGTGATGAGCCCTGAGAGAGTCTCTTCAGACTGGATAGTTACAGACAGGAGCTGCACTACAGGGCCAGCAGTGCAAAGCAGAGAGCAGGGAGGAGGGGTGCTAGCAGCCACCCAGCCTATTAGAGTGGTACCTGTTGTGGCCTTCATCGCTGTTATCCCGCACCCTATCGAGAATGGGGTGTCCAAGCATACTGAGTGAGTCTTGAGGCATTTGGGAGGCCCCAGTCCCCAGGGTGCTGCAGCCTATCAGACAGGCCTTGACTCCCGGCCGCCGCCGCCTCCTCGATGGAGGGAGACATTTCACTCCACGTCGGGTGGCCAAACAGAGCTCAGTCCACACCACCATGTGCAGTAGTATCTGCCCAATGTCCAGAGCAGCAATGCATGGCCCGGGGAGTGCAGATGGATCAAGATTATCTCGTGGTGGCGGGGAGTTGTTACAAAGCATGGCCAGCTAAGATGGCGGCGGGGCGACCAGAAGTCCATTTTTGTTTGTTTTTAAAAATCTAGTTATTGGTTGTCTATTTTGTCATTATGGTCACATATAAATATTGCTTTTACCTTTTGGTAGATTTTAATGGAAGCTAGTTTCCCTCAAAAACTGGAAAATTTATCTGGAACCTTACAAATATCATGTTATCGAAACATTTTTAAGTATCTATTTTGTCGCATCCACTGTATGTGAATTTGTTTTTCTGCTTCTTTGATAGACCCCTTTCTGAAATACAAGAAGATAATGTTTTATTTATTGTGTAAATTTGTTTAATAGATCACTGAAAAGCAATCAATATACACAATTTCAGTTTTCTCCTATATTTTTTTGCTAGCTATGTCTTTTTTGTAAATAAAAACTTGGGGGGGGAGGCAAAAGGGTGATAAAACATCAATCCACTTGCCCCCCCAAAACAAGGAAAGAAGGTGCATGTAGCAAGTGTGTTAAAAATGATAAACTTAGAGTAATGTTTACGTATGCTCGCAGTTTAGGGAATAAGATCCATGAACTTGTGGCAATAATGGCAACTGATAATGTAGATTTAGTCGCTGTTACTGAGACATGGTATAATGAGAAAAATTACTGGGACATAACAATACCAAGGTACTCTTTATATAGAAGAGACAGGGAAGGCAAGAAAGGGGGAGGAGTAGCCCAGTATGTGAAGGATAGCATAAAATCTAGACTAATAAAAGTTACTGAGGCAAACATAAAGTCCGTTTGGGTTACGTTAGAATTTGGTAATCATACAGTAACTCGTGTAGGTGTGATTTATAGGCCCCCAGGATAAATAGAGTTAGATAATCTACTAGTTGAGGAATTAGCTAAAATGACAATGAAGGGGGAAGTTATCATCATGGGTGACTTTAATATTCCTGATGTTAACTGGAAAACCAAAATTGCTGCTTGTGCCAGGAGCACACATATTCTAAACTCTCTACTGGGATTGTCTCTAAAACAAGTCATTGAGGAACCAACTCATAAAGAGGCTATACTAGATTTAGTGTTAACAAATGGAGACTTTGTATCAGATATTACTTTAGGTGAAAGTTTAGGATCCAGTGATCATCAGTCAGTGTGGTTTAATATAAGTCACACCACACAAAAAACTAAAGTTTTAGACTTTAGAAAAACATACTTCTCTAAAATTAGAATATGTGTAAAGGAGTCATTATCAGACTGGATGTAAATGTAGTCCAAGAGATAGAAGCGTCAAATAGTGTGCTTAGTGCGCAGTTGTAAACATTCTAATTGTTTTGCTGTTAATCTGCTGCTTACATTGGAGTTTTAAAAAGTAATTTTTTTTTGTGCTAAATAGTACATTTTGGGGCGTGCACTTAATATCTGAGAGTCAAATCGAAGCGTCTAATAGTGTGAATACAGCGCAGTGATAAAAATTCTTATTTTCTGGTTGTTAATCTGCTAAATAGTACATTTTGGGGCCTGCTCTTCATATCTGAGAGTCAAATAGAAGCGTCAAATAGTGCGCTTACTGTGCAGCTGTAAACATTCTAATTGTTTTGCTGCTAATCTGCTGCTTACATTGGAGTTTTAAAGAGTAAATTTTTTTTTTTGGTACTAAATAGTACATTTTGGGGTGTGCACTTCATATCTGAGAGTCAAATAGAAGCGTCTAACAGTGTGCTTACAGCGCAGTGGTAAACATTCTTATTTTCTGGGTGCTAATCTGCTAAATAGTACATTTTGGGGCCTGCTCTTCATAGAGTCAAATAGAAGAGTCTAATAGGGCACTTACAGCGCAGTGGGAAAAATTCTAATTGTTTTGCTGCTAATCTGCTGCTTACATTGGAGTTTGAAAAAGTAAAATTTTTTTTTTTTGCAAAATAGTATATTTTGGGTGTTCACTTCATATCTGAGAGTCAAATCGAAACGTAACTTTGATTCCAATTTTCTACATCGTCACTTGTAATATTGTTTCACTCCTACAACACTTGTTACACAGCTCTAAGTGATAGAAAACAGATTGATATTTTCTACACTAGAAACTACCAGATAACAAGCTGCTATATTTAAACCAGTTATCAATAGCTAAGAGGTACTTAAACAATATTGTAATTTTAGGAGCAATACCCTCACAAGTCAAACTGAGAGGTCAGTTTACAGGGAAACCTGTTGCCTGGATACAATTCTAAAACAATTTCCATATGCCCTTTGCAGACTTTAAATACTGGGAAAAACACAGTTGACAACTGCTGTGGCTTTCTGCAGTGTGCATACTGGCAAGGAGGACAGGGTTGAGGAGTGGGTAGAAGATGATTTGGAGAATCAGGTCCTAGGCCCCACATGGAATTAAGGTCATGCGAGTGATGTGTACAATTTGGAGGAAGAGGCGCTGGTCGCACAGAGGCACCAGCACAGCATAAGAAAGAGCAGGGTGCAAAAGCGGAGAGGCCGTCCCCTAGTGCTCGTCGGCATGCATTAGCTTGAGAATTACCAGTTATCCAAGTAATACATGTAGCGATCAAAGAATCCATAATAGAGTTCAGCTAACCAGATTTAACGATCCATTCGTAGTTTCACAGTCAGATGGGCAGTCCGGTGACCAGGACCTAGACGCTGTCTGGGCGGCGGTCGGACGACCGGGACCCAGTATGCCTGATGTTGAAGTTAAGAGTCACAGTGTGGAATGGATTAGCAGGGTCTGGTGCAGGGTAACCGCACGCCCCCTGGTGTTGAGCACCAGCGTTTGTGCAGCCACATACCAGGACCCTGATGCAGCATCAGTAAAAAGAGTACTGGATACCAGAAGCCATCACCAGACTGATCCGCAACTTGGAACAGGGTGTGGCATTCACTGTAGCAGCTGTGCGCACTTTTGGCGTTCTCATCTTGCTGTTGCTCTCCTGTCTGCGCTGCAGCGTAACTTCAGCCTTCCTGCTCACCGCCTCATGAGACTGTGCGAGCAGCAGCAGGCGATAGTGGAGTTTCAGCTGCAGCACGCATGGGCCAGTGGCTCTGCACCAGACTTCCCTCCAATTGATCAGAGTTAAATGATTTCAAGTGGACTCATTACAATTACAAGGCCTCTAAAGAGTCCTGTATTGTTATTTGTCGTCACTACCTTCCCACGTCTGGAGTGGGTCATTTGCGCGCCTGTTGCCTTCCTTGCGTGTTGTGGCCGTTTCTCAGGGTCCCTGTACGGAATGGAACCCTGATTCCCCGTTACCCATGGTCACCATGGTAGGCGCAGAAACTGGCATCGAAAGTTGATATGGATGGCATCTGAATACAAAGTCGCCGTCACGGGGATGTGCGATTGGCCAGAGGTTCTCTAGAGTCAACTAAGTGCCTGCGCAACTATAATGTCAACAACTACTCTGCGGAACAGAGTTGTGTTTTTTTATATGTCCCAATATTTTGGGGGCTACCCCAAGTAAAATCAACCTATGGGTCACTTAGTATAAACTAGGTACACATTAGCAGAGGCTTGTGAAGGCCTTTTCTCCATGCATCAGGAGTTGAGCATTTCTCCATGCATCAGGACTGCAAGAAATGCACGGCAGGCCGCAAATGTTTCTTTTTTTTGTATGTCCCAATACTCTGGGGGCTACCACAATAAAAAAAAAAAATAAACATAAAAAATAGTGTTGACTACTTTATCCTCCTACTCCAACACTGCTTGCACCTACACTGCCACGGTCACCGCCTCCTCAACCTATGGGTCACTTAGTATAAACTATGTACACAATAGCAGAGGCTTGTGAAGGCCTTTTCTCCATGCATAAGGAGTTGAGCATTTCTCCATGCATCAGGACTGCAAGAAATGCACGGCAGGCCGCAAATGTTTCTTTTTTCGTATGTCCCAATATTTTGTGGGCTACCACAATAAAAAAAAAAAATAAACATAAAAAATAGTGTTGACTACATCATCCTCCTCCTCCACCGCTGCTTCCACCTACACCGCCACGGTCACTGCCTCCTCAACCTATGGGTCATGTAGTATAAACTATGTACACAATAGCAGAGGCTTGTGAAGGCCTTTTCTCCATTCATCAGGACTGCAAGAAATGCACCGCAGGCTGCAAATGTTTCTTTTTTGTATGTCCCAATATTTTGGGGGCCACCCCAATTAAAATAAAAAATAGATATATAAAAAACAGTGTTGGCTACCTCCTCCACCGCCACGTTCACCGCCTCCTCAACGTATGGGTCACTTAGTATAAACTATGTACACAACAGCAGAGGCTTGCTAAGGCCTTTTCTCCATGCATCAGGAGTTGAGCATTTCTCCATGCATCAGGACTGCATGTCCCAATATTTTGGGGGCTACCCCAATAAAAAAAAACAACAATAAAAAACAGTGTTAGCTACCTCCTCCTCCACCGCTGCTTCCACCTACACCGCCACGGTCACCGCCTCCTCAACCTTTAGTATAAACTATGTACACAATAGCAGAGGCTTGTGAAGGCCTTTTCTCCATGCATCAGGAGTTGAGAATTACTCCTGGCATCAGTTAAGCTCAGTTTGAACAATGAAAGAGAATACCCTGCACTCCAACCCTCTCTCAAATGTATAATTCTGTTGATTCTCCTGACAGCCATGCTTTAGATTTTGATTTGTTCTTCCAAAGCTAAAATCAAAAATTCTATCTAGTGCATAGGTGTGTGCAGCTGGCAAGAGCTCCCCGGGTCCTCTCCTGCCTCCGTCAATGCTTCTGGGTCAGTGAGGGGAGACTTAGAGCAGAGGAGTGCCGCGGGATTAGGGTGTGCCCAGGCACACCCGGCACACCCCGTGCGCATGCCTATGATCTAGTGCTATTTTATGACTCAGTAGTTTTTTAATTTTTATCTTATTTTAAGTGATTTCCCTATCCACATTTGTTTGAATGGCACTTCTCCTACTCTTACCCCCATTTTACTTATTTTTGCAGCTCTCTAGCCATTTCCAGGAGTTTTTTAGAGGCATTTTTGTGCCCAAAGGTTCGGGTCCCCGTTGACTTCAATGATGTTCGGGTTTGGGGTCAAGTTCGGGGTCAAGTTCGAGCACGAACCCGGACTTTTTTTCAAAGTTCGGCCGAACCCGAACATCCAGGTGTCCGCTCAACTCTAAACCTAACATATATAGCTTGGAGGAAAGACAAGACATGGGGGTTATGATAGAAATATTTAAATACATAAAGGTAATCAACACAGTAAAAGAGGAGACTATATTTAAAAGAAGAAAAACTACCATAACAAGAGGTCTTAAATTTGAGGGACAAAGGTTTAAAAATAATATCAGGAAGTATTATTTTACTAAGAGTAGTGGAAAGCATAGAATAGCCTGAAGTGGTAGAGGTCAACACAGTAAAGGAGTTTAAACATGCGTGGGATAGGCATAAGGCTATCCTAGCTATAAGATAAGACCAGGGACTAATGAAAGTATCTAGAAAATTGGGCAGACTAGATGGGCTGAATGATTCTTATCTGCCATCATATTCTATAAAAGAACTTGGCAGTGAAGGGGTCTTTTTATTTTCTGTTAATTGAACAATTCATTTCTCATTTCATCTCTTATGTTTCAGAAATTTTGATAAAACTGGAATTACACAACAATGCAAAGTTTACTTATTTAACGGGACATTCAAGTAGATTTGTACATTCAGTTTTAAATTAAAAAGCCATCCATAGACCCGTCTTCCACTTCCAACTATCGTCCCATATCCCTGCTTCCTTTTTCCTCAAAGCTTCTAGAAAGATTTGTCTTTACTCATATGACTCACTTCCTAAATTCGGACTCCCTTCTCAATCTGGTTTTCGCCCCCTCCACTCTACTGAGACTGCTCTTATTAAAGTTACGAATGACCTAATCACAGCCGAATCCAAAGCAACTACTTCATACAAATTCTTCTTTACCTCTCTGCTGCCTTGGACACTGTTGATCATGGCCTCCTTCTCCTAACTATATCTCTGTGACACAGCCCTCTCATGGTTCTCCTCCTATCTCTTCCAATGCTCCTTTAGTGCCTCTTCTTCCAACAGCACCTCCTCTCCTCGTCCTATGTCAGTCGGAGCCCATCAAGGTTCAGTTCTTTGTCTACTTTTGATTCCTCTCTCTACTGCCTCTCTTGGCAAATTCATTAAATTATTTGGATTCCACTATAACCTGTACGCCAACGACACCTGATTTCTCCCCTTCTGTCCTTTTTTCTATCTCTGACTAGATGTCCTCCTGCTTTCTGAAACTCAATCTCTCTAAAACTGAGTTTCTTATTTTTCCTCCTCATAACACTGATCCTCCTCTTTCACTCTCAGGTTGACTGTACCTGCTCATCCCATCCTTTAAAGTGTTGTCACTTTTGATCCTGGCCTCATCTTTGCGCTTCATATCCAGTCTGTTGATAAAACCTGTCGATTCCAACTTAAAAACATTGCCGCATATGCCCCTTCCTTACGCAAGATGCTGCCAAGGAGCTTGTTTATGCTCCAGTACTGTAATTCTCTCCTAAGTGGTCTCCCCAGAAGCTGTACAGCACCCTACAATCTGTGATGAATGCTGCTGCCTGGCTGATCTTTCTCTCACACCTCACCCCTCTATCGATCCTTACACGGACATCCTGTCTCCTACAAGTGACAATTTTAAATAGTAACCCTTACCTATAAAGCTTTAACCAATTCTAGCCCCTCTTACATTTCTTCACTGTTTCATAGATATGCCCCCTCTCGGTCTCTCTGCTCGCACCTTTACTGCAAATTCACATCTGCAAGAATTCTCACAGGCAGCTCCTTTCCTTCGGAACAGCCTGCCTACCCCTGTCAGACTCTCTCCTAGTCTTCAATCCTTTAAGAAGTCCCTCGAAACCCATCTCTTCAGGATTGCTTATGGCCTCCAAGAGTAACTGCTATTTCTCAAACCTTCCTCTCGCTCTCTCCTATAGAGCCACACTCCACTTTAACTTCCAGTTCTGCTACTTTCCTACCATGTCTATTTCCTGTCTTTCTCAATACTCTTCCTATTGTGGTTTTATACCCCACCTCCTCTAGACTGTTAGCTCGTTTGAACAGGGTCCTCAACTACCTATTGTTCCTGTTACATTTTGTTATTGTCTCATTTAGTAAATTCCCCTCTTATTGTAAAGCACTGTGGATTAAGCTGGCACTATATAAATACCAATAATAATAATAATTGCAATATGTTTGAATTATGACCAACCTACAGGTTGTCCAAATTCCGGAACTCCAAAGCATCAGATGACATATCATGAAACTAAGGACACTAACAATAAATGAGATGTTATGTTTGCGTCATGATTCAGAGTTCTATTCATGGTGACAAACAAAGGAGATAATTGATGATTAGGGGACAAAGAAACAAACAAACCTATGGTCAACCTGACCAAAGGCTTAACATTTGTAACCGAATTCTCAAAAGTAACCAAATGCCCAAAATCATATTGACTAAATGTGGACTGAATGTGAATAGTGAAATAATATTCTAATCAGTCAGAATTCTGTCAAATGAATGGTCATTTTCATTTTTTTCCCTCTCCCTGCTCCCACTTCTATCCCATGCGGAGATATTTTAAGTCTAAGTTAAGTAATTTTATCTTTGCATTATATGTAGTGTCTGCACTATTCCTATTAAACTGGCACAAGGAATGTTTCTTTTATTTCTTAATGCATCTACCTGAGTGCAGTGCACATAGTTTATATCTTCTATTTGACTGAGTTCAGGAATTGAAATACCAGCACTGGTATTTGACTAAGCGCGGGAATCTTAAAAGTAAGTGGATACTTATGTATAAATAGATCATTTAGAAAGTTACTTCTTCCTGACATATTGTTAAGATTGGGACAGCGGCTTAGTACACATTGTTTTCTCTTAATTGTTGCATAGTCGAAATTCAGACAAGCCAGAATGCCTTGTCAACTGCTTTGAAACAAAATTGAAGCCTAATCTATTTGGATGAACCAAATAGTTCCAGAGTGCACAAGAATTTTGTGTGATTGCCAGGTTGTCCAAATTACATCATTTCAAATCACCATGAAATGAATCACAAAACATCCAAGCCAGACAATGAACGAGACAGTTTGGTTAATTCATGATTCATGACACCAGAAAAAAATGTTGTTGACTAAATCAACCAGGCCAAACGCAACAGATTGACCAAAAGTAACGAACGCTCAAATGAGTGAAAATTGACCGAATGTGAACCGAATTTGGATGTAAAATACTATTGTATTCTATTCAGTAATATTTCAGTTTACCAAATTTCAACACGAATTAGCTTCAGGAGATAATTTTTATTTATAAATAATCTGCTGCATGGACAAAATTTGATCAGCCAACCATTTTTTTTTCTTTGGATCAATTGATTGGCCTAATCAAATTCTTCTGCTGTGCATACATCTGTTTATTATACAACAATGAAGAATATG